TGAATGATGTCCTTTACCTGCGGATCTGATCTTACCTCCTCAGCTAGAGTGTCTAGCTGCATCACTGTAGGAACTGATAACACCATTAAGTCTATCGAAGAACTAACTCTGGAAAGGACATCTGCAGCTTTGTTTTCATTCCCTGTCCGATAATGAATCTCAAATTGGTACCCCATCAATTTAAGTAACCACTTCTGGTATTCAGGATTTACCTCTCGTTGTTCCAATAAAAATTTCAAACTTTTTTGATCGGTGAGCACATAAAATTTTTGGCCCAGTTGTAGTGCCTCCACTTTTGAATAGCGAAGACGAGCCATTAACTCTCTTTCATAAGCCAATTTGATCTTTCCCTTCGGGTTCAACGCATGGCTATAATACGCAATCGGGCGCCGGTCCTGCATCAAGACCGCCCCTAATCCAAACCCTGAAGCATCGATTTCTACAACGAATGGTTTATTAAAGTCAGGAAGAGCCAGAATGGGAATAGTAGACATTGCTACTTTTAGTTTGTTGAAGGCTTGCTCGGCTTCCCATCCCAGTAGAAGTTGTCCTTTTGAAGTCGTTCCGCTAGGGGCCATGCTATTTTGCCATAGTCCTTCACAAAATGACGATAGTATCCCATAAGTCCCAAGAAACCCCGCAATTCCTTCAATGAACTGGGGCTCGGCCAATCCACCATCGCTTGGACCTTTAATTTGTCTGTCGTCACCTCGTGGCGAGAAATGATGTGCCCTAAATACTCTACTTCCGGCTGGTCGAAACTAGATTTTTTGTTGTTGGCATATAACTGATGTTGGAGTAGCACTTGCAATACCCTTCTCAAATGTCTCGCATGCTCCTTTACATTGCAGCTGAATATTAAGATGTCATCAAAAAGCACCAGAACGAATCGCCTTAACTCTTCTCTGAACAACTCATTCATAAGTGACTGAAATGTAGCCGGCGCGTTTGTAAGACCAAACAGTATCACAAGGAATTCATAATGCCCTTCATGTGTTCTGAAGGCTGTCTTAGGGATATCCTCAGGTCTGACCCGTATCTGATGGACCCTGCCTTCAAATCCAATTTCGAGAAGATCGTTGATCCATGTAACTCATCCAATAATTCATCGATTCTGGGAATCGAAAATTTATCTGGCACTGTCACCTTGTTTACTGCTCGATAATCTACACAAAATCGCCACTCGCCATCTTTTTTTTTTTCACCAATAAGACGGGGCTCGAAAATGGACTGGTGCTATGCCTGATAATTCCAGCTGCCAACTTCTCTTTTTTGTTTTTTTGGATATGGGGATAGCGATAGGGCCTCACATTGACGGGAGTCGTCCCCGGTTGGAGAGTAATGGCGTGATCACGATCACGCAATGGTGGTAAACCTCTCAGCTCTTCAAAGACTGAATTAAATTCACTCAGCACCTGCTCAACTTCTGTAGGCATCTTCTGCAATTCTTTTCCACCCTCGACCTCCAAACAGCCCAGTTCAAGAAGTATTCCTTCTCTTTCCCTTTTGAATGCTTTCATCGTAGCCTTCAAAGTGACCAAAGTTTTACAAAGGCTCGGGTCCCCTTTCAAGGTCATGGTAGTGCCCCCAATCTGAAATTTCATCATGAGTGTCCTCCAATCGACTTTTGTTTGACCTAGAGTGGACAGCCATTTCATTCCCAAAATTACATTGGAGCTCCCCAAATCCAAAGGTAGAAAGTCTTCTACCACCTCCATATTCTGAAGTGATAATTGTACTCCCTTGCATACCCCTGCTCCTTGCACTGCTAGCCCAATACCCATGATGATCCCATAGCCCATTGTTTCTATTCTTGGTAAACCTAATTTTCTCACCAGGTCTGCTGATATAAAATTATGACTAGTTCCCCAGTCAATTAACACCACTACTTCCTTCTTCAAAATTTTTCCTTTAATTTTCATAGTGTGAGGCGGTGTAAGTCCTACTACGGAGTTCATTGACAGCTCTACCAACTCCCCGGCCACCGACTTCTCCTCTTCGATCGTTTCTTCCACTGGCTCTTCCACACAGTTGTTCGGCCGCTCTTCATCGCAAACTAGCAAAACTTGCAGTTCATGATTCTTGCATTTGTGTCCAATGGAATATTTCTCATCACAGCGAAAGCATAACCCTTTTTCCTTCTTAGCTCATAACTCGGATTCGCTGAGCCTTTTGAAGGGCGAATTGGCCGCACCGGTCGGCATGGAAAAACTGGTCGTCGCCGACTTGGGGCTAGAGCTCTGGGGAAAAATCTGATTACTTCGTGGTGACGACATGACCCAATTGGAGCTGGGATTTGATCTACTCTTAACGGGTCCATGGGTTTGGAGCGCCTGATTTTTTTCTTCAATTCTTTGGGCCAGTTCCATGATCTGGTCCAACCCTTTGGGCTGCATCACCCTGATTTCGGCCCTAATTTTTGGGCTTAGCCCATTTACGAAATGACCTTCCAAGATAGCTTCTGATTCAAACACCTCTCTGTAAGCTGCCGCTGAGCTTTCTTACCGGAGGGCGAGGAATCGCTTCTCCAAGGTTCCCTCCATGGAAGGCCTAAATCGAGCTCGCATCAGGACCTTGAGCTCATCCCACCTTCGTACCCCCCTTCTCTTCTGCTCCCATTGATACCAAGCTAGCACCCCTTCTTCGAAACACAGACTTGCCATTTCTAATTTCTCTTTCTTTGTTAGTTGGTTTACAACGAAATAGCGTTCTGCCAGGAAAATCCATTCGTCTGGGTTTTTTCCGGTGAACACGGGCATCTCCAGCTTCCTTCCCTTAGTTTTCGATCTCCAATTCCCGCCGGCAGTACCTCCCAACTCCCTACTGTTCGTCTCCAGGCCAGGTGAAATCTCAGAGTGCATAGTATATTTTGAATCTCTCCCTCCATCTTGTCCCTTCCTTTCCTCTACCTTTCCGCATCTTGTCCCTTCCTTTCCTCTACCTTTCCGCCTCCTCCCACTTCGTCCTCATGAAGGTAAATTGCTCGGAGATGATTGCCATGTTTTGCACTCTCTGTAATTCCACTTGCATTCGATCAATTCCCTGTTGCATTCCCTCCAGTTGCTCCTGTAATTTCTGCTGGGTTCCTTCTAAACTCTCCACTCTATCTGTCAAATTCACCATCAGGACCGATCTGCTCTGATACCAGTTGATAGGATTCTGGGATATTAACGACCTATTTAACACCCTTTAAGATGAATGAGAATTGAAACATAGCAAAATACTTCATTAATGCACTAGAAATTACACTAGAAGGATCTGTAATATAAAGAACGAATCCGGAATTACAATGAACGGATTAAAAAAAAAGAAATAACGGAATAAAGGTGAACTTTCGAGAGGTCCACTGCTCTCTAGATGAATGCCAATTTTCTGCCCCTTTACTGGACTTGACTATCCTTATTTATAGGTTGCTCTGCTTCTAGATCATTCTCTCAACAGATTATGTAACTGTGCATGTGGTCTTCTTTCTCCTTGCATTTTCTTTTCTGCCCCTGTCCCTCTGTTGCGCTTTTGGTAGGTAATCTGAACTGGGGGTCTATCAGTGTGCTCGTAAGTTTTGATTCGCATTCTTAATTAATATTTGACCTCTTTTCATTCGATGTCCCTAAGATATATTTGAAAATAACTTCTATTCTTTCCCTCATAGGTGGATCTACATTAGGAGCAGTGAAGTTTGCTATCCCATGCTAAATTTGAAATCCGAAATTTTGCAATAGATTTTTCAAGTCTTTATACAAATAATTTTCAATTTTGCCCTCACAATTATAATTTTGTAAAATTTGCCCCCACAACTCTACTCTCCTAGCTCTATCCCTGCTTTCCCTGATCTACTAGTTGCGATTTGCAAGTATTCATTCATTAACAACTTTCTATTTGATGAAGGTAATCGAAGATGAAAATGAAGCTGTGAGATAGTGTGATTTGCTTGAACGAGGAGGTCAAGATTGTGAAGGTGTTGTCGAGATAGATGCCTCATCTATAAGAAGCTGGGTTTCGTGTGTAAATCCGCCCCTAATTAATATTTTCTAATATTTATCAAAATTTCTCTGCAGGTTTTCGATCTGTGCACTATGAATAGGGCTCTAGCGGTTTTGTTCCGTAGGGGAATAACACCCCGTCGACCTAAAAACCTTAAGCTTAACTTATGGGCACGCAAGCGCTCTCTTGAAGACCAAGAGGACTTCATATGAAACCCTGGTGATTTGGAACACAGTCAATATATTAATAGTTGATTTTGTCATATAATTTTTTCTACAATAAACATTGCAATCAAGATATCGCATAAAAAACCTCTTTTAAAGCTTTCATCATTTGTTTTGTTAATGAGTTTAAATCAACAGATCCCTAATGGAGAATTTAGGTTGGGAATTGGAAATATTAGCATACTACCAAGGATAAAAGTGTAATGTGCGGTCTATTCTTGGCCTTATTTTAGGCCAGCCCAGTGGCCCATGCAGATCGAATCACTTGGGCTTTAAAACAAATTTTTCAAAAGGGAAAATTGTAGCCGAGGTACTATACCTTTATTTTAGTAGCAGACTTTGCCCAAACCTTTCGTTTGTGCCACTGGAGGTACCAAACCTTTCAAAAATTCGCACCCAAAGTCAAAATGGATGGAAACCGTCCATTTGACCTTTAGTTGACCAAGAAAAGTAAATTTTGACCAAATTGGAATGAGTAAAATAATAACTTGATACTTACAATATTAAATAAATTGAACAAAAAAAATCAAAAAATTAAGAAAAGAAATTAAAAAAGGATTGTCTTCTTCAACCTCCCCACCCCATCGCACCCATCCCACCCCACCCCACCATCTTTGTCCCCAATTGCGTGGGTCTACAGCTTCTTCCAGCAAAATTACAAACCTTTTTCCACAGATTTCACCATCTTTTCAAGCTTCCTCTTCCTCTTCTTTTATTGGTCTAAATAGCGCTGATTTTTTTCTATACTACCCCCAGAATCTAGTTTCTGGGCACCATTTCGTGGCCAATGCTCCCATGGTACCTGCAACTATCGACTTTCCTGTTTCAAACAAGACTAAATTAACTACTTATCAAGAATTTGATAGGCTTAATGGATATACAAGGAAACAAATAGTTAAAAAGGATAGGCATAGCAAAATAATTACAGCTCAAGGTCCAAGGGATCGAAGAATGAGGCTTTCCATTGGTACTGCACGTAAGTTCTTTGATCTTCAAGAAATGCTAGGTTTTGACAAACCAAGCAAAACCCTTGATTGGCTGCTTACGAATTCGAAAATATGGTGGGGTGGGGTGCGATGGGGTGGGGAGGTTGAAGAAGACAACCCTTTTTTAATTTCTTTTCTTAATTTTTTGATTTTTTTTGTTCAATTTATTTAATATTGTAATTATCAAGTTACCATTTTACCCATTTCAATTTGATCAAAATATGTCAAAATTTACTTTTCTTGGTCAACTAACTGTCAAATGGACGGTTTCCATCCATTTGGACTTCGGGTACAAATTTTTGAAAGGTTTGGTATCTCCAGTGGTACAAATGAAAGGTTTGGTACCTCGACTGCAATTTTTCCTTTTGAAAAATCTGTTAGGCCTGATTACCTGCCCGGCTTGGCCGCTGTCTTTTTGACACGCTTGCTTAAAACCACGAAATGATGATGGTCGAGTCCAATTGAACTGAATTGTGTTACATGTTTTGTTATGGGTTGGTTCGACAGTATTTCTGAAATTATAAGCTGGTCGAATATTTTTAACTACACATGTCATTAAATTCACAATTTTTATATACTTTTTATGGGATTACCAACTTATAATCTCGTGAAGCTTTATCAAATAAAGGCTTTATTTTATTTTATTCCTATTAAATCCGACATATTAAACACTTTAATACTCATGAATTGAAATCTTCACCAATATGGAGGCTGCAAAATTGCGCAGTCGACTTTGACATTTAAGAGGCATAATCCTCAGAATTTGGGATTTTCTTTTCCTTGCCACTAAAACATAGTGGACCACTTCAATAAATATTTATGTCCCTCTTTAATCTTAATTAAAGTAGCAAAGCCAATTTTTGGCTTTTGCATGAAGGATTCACATGATAAGTCATCAAGAAAAAGACTCGGTAATAGGCACACCGCAGCAATTAATTTGTTTTGGGGAGATTTTCTCATAAATTATAATCATTTTTCATGACATATTTTACGGGACCTTTTTTCTTTTTGATCACACATTATTTAAAAAATATATTTACTTGCAACAACCTCTTCCAAACAAGCTCCGATTAACGATAGGAGGGGAAAAAAATTATTTTTAATCACATATTTTATCTAATCTATAATTTTTCTTTTTTAATCACATTATTCAAAAGATTATATTTACTTGAAAAAACCTCTCCCAAACAAGCTCTGATTATCGATAGAAGAAAAAGTAATTTCTAATCACATATTTTATATAAATTGTATTTTTTTTAATCACACATTATTCAAAAGATTATTTTCACTAAGAAAAATCTCTCCCAAATAAGCTTCGCTTACTGATATATAGAAATACAACGAGAGGAGTTAAAGATCAACCAAATACATTCAAATTTAATTAGGGTTCTTTGTAATTGATCATATTTGTATTGTTACTATTAATTATATTGATTGGTCTTATTTAAATCCAATGCTTTTTGTGTGTGTATATTTTTTTGACAGAGCCGTGTGTATATTTCTGATAAATGGTCTATAATTAAATAATAAAAAAAGAAAAGGCCAAATATATTTAATTATTTTATTTTTGGCGTTTCCTGCAATCCTCTTTTGTTTGTTCACCCACGTAAAATTCACGGTTTTTCAGTTGCCAGTTAAAACACGCGCGAGAGTGCCAAAGCAAACTGAAAGAGAGACATTAGGAATTCGGATCCGATTAATCCATTAAATGAGCAGCAGCGAGGGGAGCTCAGGGCAGTCGGCGGCGAGAGGGGTCGGAGGGGAAGGGCACCCACCATCCACGGCAGATAAGGGGAAGAAGAAGGAGAAGGCGCGGGTGAGCAGGACTTCTTTAATCCTGTGGCACGCGCACCAGAATGATGCCGCGGCGGTGAGGAAGCTCCTTGAGGAGGATCGATCTCTGGTACAAGCCAGAGACTATGATAGCCGCACTCCGCTTCATGTGGCGGCGCTTCATGGCTGGATCGACGTCGCCAAGTGCCTCCTAGAGTATGATGCTGACGTCAACGCACAAGATCGCTGGAAAAACACAGTAATTTCCTCATCATTTACATATATAGATTTATATCATATACTTACATATGTATAATTGTTGATTTAATGGCTATAAAGTCATGATTGAATAATTTTGTGTGCGTAGTTGGACAGGTTGTTTTGTCACTATAAATTGTTATAGCACTCTTTTTCATTCAGATGCTCTTTTTTTTTTTTTTTCTGGAATTTTATATTCTTATAACGAGTTGCTATTGGTTTTTCTTACTGTTATTTTAGATGCATTTAAGTGACTCGAAAAACTCTCCTAAATTTTCACATTGCATCTATTTACATAAGTTAGAAAAGTGGGCATTGTAAGAGATTACTTTGAAATAGTCTAATGACTCTAATGTAATGCAATTATTATAAGTATGCACGATTAAGTATCACCTTCTATTTGGTAATCTTGGCTTTAGGCTTAAGAATTGCTAATATAATGATCTCAACATTTTTTATTATCTGTCTTATACTCTATGCGCATGAGATGTGAACGTAGAGTTCCTTGGTGGAGATAAGTCCAACTGTCATTGCAATCTCCTCTCTCCATTCCATACACAACTAAAAGATCATGCACCAACTTCTCTTTTAGTTTTTCCCCATTCTATGTTATGAACCTTAATTTGTGATGAAGTCTTTTTCTAGTTTCTATAATTCTATTCATTTAACCTTTCATCTGACCTTTGTATTGGTGATGACAGCCTCTTGCTGATGCTGAAGGAGCAAAAAGACATGGAATGATTGAGTTATTAAAGTCATATGGTGGGCTATCTTATGTAAGTCTCTTTCTTTTTCTTGCTTTCTTCCTTTGGGACAAGAACACTCTTTCGGTGATGGTATACTTTGTGATGTCAGTTGTTTTATTTGTAACTTATCCTCTAAATTTCTTCACTTATTTCTTCAAACAGGGGGTGGGGGTTGTTAATTTTGATAAGTTATAATATGCCTGATGCTGTGAAATCATCTGCTCCTATGAATAATAGGTCACCATTAATGGGGTTACTGAGTCTTTGCAAACATTTGAATCTTCTTCTTATCCGACTTTTGAGGTCTCTCTTACTCTCCAAGCTATAGCCTTGCTGGTTTTTGAAGATTGTTCAGCAACTCTCTTCACTCATAAATGCATGTGATGCTTGTTTACTTTAGTTCAGTTGCTAAAGTCCATGGAGTTCTTTTGTGTACCTTATGAACCTAAATTGGGGGAGGGACTCTTCTTGAAGTCTCAAAATCTGATTACTTGATGGTTAATTGTTTCTTTGGCATATGTTGTCATCTTGATCATTTCCTTTATTTTTTGGGACCAATTGTTGAAATTCACGAGGTAACTTTCGAATTCTTTTCTGCTGGACTGCACATGATCGTGCCTGTACTTGGGAAGTCATAATGGATGTCATTAGGTACATGAGTATGGAAACAGACTAAACATGATTTTTCTTCTTTAAAAAGAGGGGTATAACATAATTTGACGTGAGTTTATGTTTTGGAAGGAATCAATGTAAAATGAGCCCTGCTGATTGTTATCTTCCTCATACGGTGACATAAAAAGCCTAAAAAATGTTATATCTTGACTTGCTTACTATTCAAGCTGAGCTTGAATCAGTTTTTGACCAATCGAATAGGACCTGAGTTCAGGCAATTTGGTTACTTTGCACTATATCTACTAGCTGTAATGCCGAGAGAAACTATAGAAGCTTAGAAACAAGTTCAACCTTATTTTCTTTATTTCCAATCTGAGCTTGAACAAGCCAACCCTCAGCTACTCAAGCCCTGTTTGATTGTGGTCTTGAGTTTCATGGCATGCACAAGTTAGTTTAAGTTTAAGTTGTGGTCATCATTATTCTCTTCATATATAGAATTTCATGCATAATTTCTTTTTCGCTTTTCTATTAGCTTAGTTTTATGGGTGTATTGCAGGGCCAGAATGGAAGCCATTTTGAACCTAGGCCTGTTCCACCTCCTCTTCCAAATAAGTGTGACTGGGAGATTGATCCTGTCGAACTGGACTTCTCGAGCTCAACAATCATAGGGAAGGTCTGTATTCAAAAATTACTGATCAAGTTTTTGTACATTAGTCACTGTTCAGTTCGATGCAGTAGATAATAAGTAATCCAATACTGTTTTTAAAGGATAAAAATATTGATGTTTTCGGTCTATATTATTATTTAAAATCTCGTTCTTTTCAACAATGTAATGGTCTGTCTCTATTCTTAAAAGTGGAACGTTTAAACAGTTACATTTACTGTTGAGAAGTACATTAACCCAGTTGGATTTGAGGATTTAGTTGGATATAAATTTGTTTGTAGATTTTGGTAATTAATGGAATTTATCAAAAAATTGCCTTCTTGTGTTATTTTATATTTTGATTCTTGTAAACTTCAGTGTTCTGTCATTTTTATTGCACAACCATCTTCATTCTATATTAGTGATACCCCATTATGAATTCCTCAAAGGAATTGTGGTTTTTCTTTTGTTTATTATTCGGGGGGTGGGAAGCAAGTTCACCCCCAATGGCACTTTCATGGCACAGTACTACCTTTCTATTCTATTTTTGCGTTGGTTGGAAATGTTATTGAATGACCCTCCATTTTGCTTCAAATGCTTGTATGGTTAATTTAATTTTTGTGTATGCTCCTTGTTGTTTACATATCAAATATTTATTCCTTTTTTATTGTCATGTGTGATTTACATCTTTACGCGAAGTTCCTGATCATGGCTGATATTGGTAGGGGTCTTTTGGTGAGATAATAAAAGCTTATTGGAGGGGAACACCTGTAGCTGTCAAACGAATTCTTCCAAAACTCTCAGATGATAGATTGGTGATGTATGTTTCATAACTGGGTTAAGATTGTTATGGAGTGCTCATGATGTTACATTTCTTTATTTATTATTAGTAATAGGTTGCTTTAATTTGAGTATAATGCATGGTCATGCAGAACTCGCAGATTAAAGCTTTTAATTTTTACAGAGTGGCTATTGACTCTGGAACCTGGTTTAAAAGAGAGAATTTATCTTCATTAAGCTGGATAAGTAATTGAGATTAAATAATCGTTTATGAGTTTCTATTCCTATAACCAATCATAGCCATATCTTTCACATCATGTTCCTGCTTAACATAAAATAAAATGAATTGCCTCGTGCTATCATGCAGTCAGGACTTCAGACATGAGGTAAATTTGCTAGTTAAACTTCGCCATCCAAATATAGTCCAATTTCTTGGAGCGGTCACAGAAAGGAAGCCCTTAATGCTAATTACAGAGTATTTGAGGGGGGTAAGTGAATAAATTTCCACGTTGAAGCAGAATTTTCGTACTTCTGACAATGGAAAGTCATGTCCTAAGTGTTGCCTTATATATTCCTTCACAGGGGGATCTACATCAATACCTAAAGGAAAAGGGGGCACTGAATCCATCAACAGCAATCAATTTTGCATTGGATATTGCTAGGTAAAATTTGCATCAAATTTATTGTCTTTGTTTTTGTTTACTAAAACTTCCAAACCCTTTATTAAGTCAGTTGTCCATCAGAAGCACTCAATCACTTGCACAATTACTGATGAAATCTGTTGCCAAAAGCATTAGAGAGATGTATTATTTCCAAATATATTTGCTAAGTTAAAGCAAATATATTATTATTATTATTATTATTATTATTATGATTATTATTATTATTATTATTATTTTCTGGGTGCAATGTCATGCACGCATCTAGGGTGGGGCATAAAATAATTTGGCTTATCAGCCCATACACAGCACCCAGGGGTAAACATATAATGTTGCATATCTTGGGAGAGTATATATATTTGTGGGATTGGGGTTGGGTTAAGAACTAATTTTCTTCTAATTTGAGTAACTTCAGAATGACGTATGCTTTGGGACAGGTGATAGTTCTTATTTCTTATGTCTTTGGTATCATGATTGCATATGCCTACTTTAAAAAAATGGGATGATTATGTAAATAAATTAATTTATGCAATAATGTAAAATGATAGTATGCTTGTTGAGTTTCATAAATCTTGTTTTGACAGAGGCATGGCTTATCTTCACAGCGAGCCAAACGTTATAGTACACAGAGATCTAAAACCAAGGTTAGCTTATTTTCTGGATACAATTGCGAGGACATCCACTATTGTCTAACAAGTATAATAAGTATTACATATCTGTCATCTTATCTCTCATCCAAAATTTATGTTTAAAATTGTTCCAGATCGCTTTCTTTTTTGTATTGGGAACTCTTGGGAAAATCTTTCTTTTCCCTAATAGCTGTCAAACTGAATATGATTCTTTTTCAGGAATGTTCTTCTTGTCAACTCTAGTGCAGACCATTTGAAAGTTGGAGACTTTGGATTAAGCAAACTTATTAGGGTGCAAAATTCTCATGACGTGTACAAAATGACCGGTGAAACTGGAAGCTGTAAGTAACTGTTTATGAATTGTTTCTATATGGCTGAAATTTTGATGATGTAGCTAATTCTGTATTTTTGCTACTATAAAAGACCGGTATATGGCTCCCGAAGTCTTCAAACACCGAAAATATGACAAAAAGGTTGATGTTTTCTCTTTTGCAATGATCTTATACGAGGTAATTTTATTTGTCCTGAATCAGAATAGTATGGAAACATTGATTGAAATATAATCCAGTGACATGTGAACTAATGCAGATGCTTGAAGGTGAACCGCCACTGGCAAATTACGAACCATATGAAGCCGCTAGATATGTGGCAGAGGGACAAAGACCAATTTTTAGGGCCAAAGGTTTTATACAGGATTTGAGAGAGTGAGTAGACTACAATATCTTATAGTGTGTGCATGTGTAACTATGGTCCATGTTTGGCTCTAAATGGGACCTTAAAATATCTTAATTCATATATGTTTTTAACACATTGGTGCACCAGCCAATTTTACTGCTAAGAGTTTAGTTTTTTTCGTTAATGTTTGCCAGTGAATTACGAGTGTAATGAATGAACTGCATACATTACTGTGTTCGAAGCAGACAATATGGTCACTTGAGTATTTGATTTCCTGATATCCTATTGAATTGGACATGTTTTTAGGTTGACTGAAAGGTGCTGGGCAGCAGATATGAATCAGAGACCTTCTTTCTTGGAAATCTTAAAGAGGCTTGAAAAGATTAGGGACATATTACCGTCCGATCATCACTGGAGCATCTTTACAACATGAGAGAAACCAGATATGAAAGATGGAACTTCATATATCTGCTAATATATCCTTCACCCCTACATGCCAGAAACAAGATCGGTTTTGAATGGAGTCAATAGTGTGAAGCTTGCAAGACTGATCGTTTGCCCAATGCTTTATCGTGCTATTTGGATTTAACCTTGGACGTGCCTATTATTTCTACAGTCCCAGTTTCTTGATCTCAGAAGCGAGTGTCAATTTGTGTTGTAATTTACATATATAAATGTTCACTCTTTGAGTTGCAATCTGTTGTAGTTGGCTAACTTCTATTAATAACTTCGAACAATTATACATTTGTTTTTATAGCGACGCTGTGTTATGAAGTCTTCTACTCAAATATACGACACTTCTACTGTATTCGGTACATGGTTGATGAGCACTTCTAATTGACAACTCACTAAGATATCATACTACTTTATCCATACACACAAACATCAAGAGTAATTTTACAAAGAGTACACTTCGTGTTGCACAATTTTTGTTCTCTACTACACTTTCTCATTCATTCGGCCAAGTTGTCCATAGGGCATGATGAGAACCAAAACGTTATTCATATTTTTGACCCAAGAGGGGACATTTCATAAGGTTTCATAACACAACATTATTTTTAGTACGAAAACAACGGCAGATTAAGGACATATTTGGCATTATTTTTAAAAAGTTAAAAATTGCTTCTGCAATTAGAGTCACACTTGAATCTGTTTAAATAATTTTATGAAAGTATGTTATCGATTGAAAAAAAAATGGAAAACCTAACAAGCTCTTCCATAAAAAGTGAAGTAAAATCACACACTATCCCAATTCCCCATCTATACAAAATTATTCATCAGAACCTTCGAACGCTAATTGATATTTATTACAAGTTTAGTGCAGCATTGATTCAGCATCTAATCCCCCTTTTACAGTTTTTGATACAAAAAGTTGTACAATAATCAGAAAAAAACTAGTAAGAACTCTGCCTGCATCAGAATATAAAAATCCATTCAGATTTGTGTATTGCTAATTTCAAATTCATGACTACAAAACACTAACTAGGATGATTCAGTACACCACTAAATAAGCTTCTTCTTTTCGAAGAACGACTTCAAATGCCATAGCTGCATTCCTGCCACGGACAAGCAAATAAAAAATGACAAAAAACTTAACCACGCCATTTTGCTGTTCGTGGACCTGTTAAGTTCCTGCATTTCTTCTTCCCTGAAACAATAATCAATCATGCAAGAAAAATAAGGTTCTACATCAGTTATCAAGTGGAAAACATAGTGCAAGAACAAGACTCAGATTTAGCTTCAGAACTATGCAATCCTCCCCTACCAAACAGGCTAAAATTTTTTTAGAAAGCCAGAATTGAATTAGCTCACCTTTCACGTAGATAAAACATCTCGTCATGGATTGATTGCACCGTATCAAACATTTTTTTCAGCTCTAATTCCATAACCTGGGACGTTAGAATACAATTACTAAATTTCAAAAGAAAAGTAATCACCTAATAATTTTATTAAAAAACTTCCAATTATAGCATTCACGCGTTATTATATATCTCCAACCAACTTGACCGAGTTAAGTTATCTTCAACACAATAGCCAATATGACAAAGTCGGAACAAGATAACAATATAAAATTCTGAAAACAAACAAGTCAGATATGCTAACTCTAGAAAAAGAAAGATATAAAGAGGATTTCATGAACTGCTAATTAATTATAGTCCTTGAGAGCAGTGGGGAAGCCATAACTCAAAACAGACTCCTAAGTCCCCACCTCCAAAGATAAATAATAGCTGCTTATTCCTATATTTGGCATAGGTTCCACATCCAAAAGAAAAGAAGGTGATAGGAACAAATTGGATAAACCCAAAGATATAGAGAAAATTGTATAGGAAGGATCAAATCGAAGGGAGAAATTAAAAAAGGAAGGCCCTTTTTTCAACATTTCAGAACAAGAATCAATTTTTTGTTATAATCCCAACACAATCCTTCTCCTCCTCCTTCCTCACCCCAACCTTGCATTCCCGCCCCCGTTTTTTGCTATTATACAACCTTGCCCCACACTATCCTGCTACCCCCCCCCCCCCCCCCCCTTTTTTTTTGTTCCCAAACGTGATCGTGTGCTATAGTGGACCAAATTTAGCCACAATTTTCCCCCCCCCCCTCCCCCGCCCCCCCCCCCCCCCCTCCTCCTTTGTTTTTGGCTCACAAAACTCCTCAGGAAGCTCTCAAGTACACGGGACGAAATGAGGGGTAAGGAGGATGACAGGGTAAGGGGATATGTAAACTTGTGCAGACATAGATGATAAAGGGGATGGGAGGTGAATGACGGATTGGAAAGTATGCCTTTTCTAAGATATGTTGGAAATTTGATGTATAAAAAGATCTTTTTAAATGAAATTTTAGAGTTGAGCAAAATCCATAAGCAAGTCACAAAAGCAATCTGCAGTCTAAAATCTGAAGATCTATGTTACACTTAACAAAGGATACACTCCACCATCAAATCTACAATTAAGCTCACTTTCAACTCAGAACCATAGACAGAATAATATCACATGCATAAATGCAATGACGAGCGAAGAAATGTAGAAGAATGAGCACTTACTTCAACAGAACCTTTTTTGGCCACATTCGTCCAATCCTTGGAAGCAATACCAGACTTCCAATCGAAATCAACTGTAATAGTAGTGGAAGGTTTGTGATCACCTGCAAAAAAGCAAGCCATGTAATCACCTGCCTCCGCAGTTTGAAATGCAAAATGCCCCTCGGTCACATGGTCTGAGTAGTGATAGCTATTCCCATACGCCGATGTCACCTACAAGTTACAAACAAAATTAGGTCAAACCTTTTCCACTTTATTAATACACAGAAAAAATAACATGGAATAAAGTAAAACCGAGCAAAGCCTTCATTTCGACTAATCTAACTAACAAAACCTACAAAAAAACTTGTTCTCTTAAATCTTTGAGTAAGAAGTTGTATACATTAGATCCAACCCTGTTGAAAAAAAATAAAAATACTTAGAGAATATTAATACCAAAAGAATTCAGTTTGTATTAATTTCTAACTTGTCAGTATGATTCTCCTCAAAATTCATCTGTAATTAGAAAAAATGACACTAAAGGGTTAAGAGGTACAAGATTCATCTGTAAAGGGTTTAAGAGGTACAAGATTTCAAAAATATTTTATTTTCAAATCATCATTCATAAACTAGTCAAAACCCTATTAGCAAATTGATCCAGGACCGTGCAAAATCAATTCATAAAATAATAATAATAATAATAATTACCCGGACGGTGATTTTATGAGAGTCAGGCAACGGGTGGCCATCATTAGGGTTAACAATATGATACTTTCCGACGGTCATGGAATTACTCTTTATGTCCTCCGATATGCATTTGGTGTGCCCAGATTCCAGATCGAACCGGATCGACTCGACCTGATTCCATAACAAGAACCCCGAAATTAAGATGATGAAAAGACTCTGTTTTTCAATTTGGATTTTCATATTAATAAAGAATAAGTGATTCTTTGGATAAAGGGTTGTGAATAGAACGAGATTCTTGGTTTGATTTAGCTGTAATGTTTTGCAGGAGATTATTGTGGAATTTGTTTGATCATCTAGCAATGAAATGATAGAGACGAAGAAGTAACTTGTGGGATTGATTTCTTCTTTTTTTCCTTTTTATAAAGGACAAAGATTGTTGTCAAAAATGGTAGTTCTATCCAATCACATTACTCCACGTCGGAAAGGTGTCTATTAAATCATGTAGGAGTATTAACTATTAATTGAATATAATCATCATATTTAAATTTCGAATAAACAATTTTATTACATTTTAGTGTACAAAAAATCAAGGTTAGATCGTTTTCGACCACATCACTCATAAATTAATAATTTTATTGATAAGCATTGACGAAATTAAGCTCAAGAATGACGTGACAGGTTTTACCTTTTGTTAAAGTACGGAAGTAATGATCTATTCAACAATCGTATGACGTAGTTAATTTATAAAGGGGAATTTACACAAATATCACTAAAATTGAAAATACAAAAAAAAAATTTGGACATTCACCAATTTCTTCCAAGGATGTCAATTTTTCCCTACAAAACGTCCACTTTACCCTTTAACACCTTTTTGGAGCAATAAATGCTTGATTTGAATGCAATTAATGTTATGATGTGATTAATTTATTTTTGCTTTAAATTTAATATTGAAGATATGATATTATATTGTATAAAAAGATTTTTTTTGATTAAAAAAGAGGTGAAATCTTTACAAAATACACACACGCGCGCGAATTGAAAGAGCTTCTTCTTCTTCATTATCTCCACTCCATCATCAACAAGGAAACAAGGAAAGCCTTTGACAAATTTGAAAGGTAAGGTAGTAGAAAAAAGTTCATCTCATGTCATAATTGACTACTTTAAATGTTCAATACAATATGATCATATTTAAATGAACCCTTTCAATCTCTTATTCATTGATGTAGTAAATTTTTGGTATATTTTAGAAAGAAAAATTATACCAATATTATATAGAAAATGTGAAGTATTTCATATATAATTCAACATTTAATGAACCATTAAGTGATATCTTATTCATTTCTAAAAAGATACAGTGATATTGTAGTCCAGAATTTATTATGGCCTTTACCGTTTTCAATAAATTCGTCAAACAGTGAAGCACATGGAATTTATCTTTCTCGAAAGTTATGGCAATAGAACTGTCGAGCAGTATCTTGGAAACTGTCGGGTTAGACATTTTAACTGTCGAGCTCGACATTTACTGACTGTCTGGATAGAAAATGTAATTGTCGATTTCGACACCTGAAAACTGATCATCTTTTATATCTTTGGTAGTACATGGATGTAAGTATTTTCGTGTGCCAATTTGATGTTATGAAATGTCGACATATGAATCTGCAGAATTCTCACTTTTGCAATCCTAACATTTCAGGTATGAGTCATGATTTCAGATTCATCGTGTCGCATGGAGGAAACTTCGTTCACTCAGATGATGAATGGAAGTGGAGAGGGGACAAAACCACTTCCATTTTAGTGTCGAGAAGTATTACCGTAGCAGAACTTCTATTACGATTGAAGGAGAAACTTGGTATCGTTGAATCCCGCAATGCAATCGAATTGAAGTTCAAAGTCCCGAACTTGAATCTACCTCCGGCAGAGATACGCGACGATGAGGATCTACAGTGGTACATATTTGTTCATAAGGAAACTGCACTCTGCATCACATATTTGGTATCCGAGCTCCCAATTGTTGGTATGTCAACAGATGCAAACTGTGAAGGGAGCTTGTTCGGCCCAACGGTATGTCCACCGAATGTACAACACGACGAGATGAATCATCAGCACAGTGTGTCGCAAACCGAACGACCCGAACCTCCGATTGAGCGTATAGAGGCTGCAGCATCCGCCGAACACTTAGAGAACCCATTACATGGTACAGATCGTGCTATTATTGCTGAAATAGACGAGACAATGTCATCAAATTCCAGACGTTCATGCACAGATGAGTGGATTACAGCTGCAAATACATCGGTTCTCACCGAGAAGCAAATATTCTTTACCAAGAAACAGTTGTACTCGAAGTTTCATGTACTTGCTTTGCAAGAGAAGTTCCAATTCCGGGTAAGCAGGTCAAGCTTGAAAATGTTAACAATTGTCTGTGTGGATGATAATTGCAAGTGGATGCTACGTGCTTCTACTGTCAAGCAATCTGCAATCTTCATGATCCGTAAGTTCGTTGCAATTCACACATGTTCCCTTGATTTTCGTCGTAACGCACATCGGCATGCCACTAGTGCTATAATTGCGGAGCACATTTTGGGAAAATTGGATACTCCATACCGATCATATCCGCCTACTCATATTGCACGTGATATGGAACGTGAGTTTGGTGTGAAAATCAGTTATAGCAAAGCACGTAGGGGGAAGCTCCATGCCTTAAAAATGCTACATGGTACACCAAGGGACAGTTTTCAGAAATTATCTTCGTACTGTCATGTCGTAGGAGAAAGTAACCCGGGGACCGTTACCCACATCGAAGTTGATTGTTGTAATAAGTTTCGTTACTTCTTCGTAGCTTTTGGTGCAAGCATTCGTGGATACATGCAGTACTTGAGACCCGTTATTTGTGTTGACGGCAGTCACTTGAAAGATCCATATAAAGGTACACTCCTAGTGACAACTGTCCAAGATGGTAACAAACAGATTTATCCGTTGGCATGGGGGATCGTGGATGCTGAAACCAATAAATCGTGGAAGTGGTTTTTGTCGAACATGAAAGACCTTATAGGGGATTCCGAAGAACTTGTGTTCGTTTCGGACAGGAAAAAGAGTATTCAGAAAGCTATTTCTCAGTTGTTTCCGTCGTCTCGGCATGGTTGTTGTATATGGCATATGGAAAAGAACCTAATACAACGGTATAACAACGCAAGCCTATTATTTCTATTCAAACGAGCTGCTACAACTTTTCGGGTCGAGGACTTTGAACGACTCATGGGACAGATTCGTAGAGTGAGCGAAAGAGCGCACGGGTACTTAGAGCGAGCGGGATATTCATTTTGGTCCAGAGCACTATTTATTGGACACCGTTACAATATTATGACAAACAACAATGCAGAGTCGTTGAACTCGATGTTGAGAGAAGCCCGGTCGTTACCGATAACCTGCTTGGTTGAACACATTCGGAGTATTATGCAGAAGTGGTTTTACGAACGTCGAGCAAATGCGGAAGAATGCAGTACCTTATTGACACCAAGGATGGAGAACGAGCTACGGACGACTTTCGAAAATGGAACTAGGCTTCGAGCCCATGCCCTGACAAACAACTTGACGCAGGTTGGAATATCCAACGACACGGACATAGTTGACTTGTCCGAAGAAACCTGCACATGTCGTGAGTTCCAACTAAACCGTATGCCATGTGTTCATGCAAGTCGTGCTGCTTGCTTTAGAGGGAAGACGTTGTACGAGCTTTGCTCCCGTTATTATTCATCGGACTACTGGAAGGGTGCCTACAACGAAACTATATATCCTGTTCCGAGGGAAGTGGATTGGGTTGTTCCGAGCTTAATTACATGTACTCCTATTTTCCCACCACTCGTACGTCATCCTCCAGGTAGACCACCAACCCGCCGTAAGCGTTCTAGGTATGAGTATGCATGGTCTACCAGAAAATGTACCCGCTGTGGTAGAGTTGATCATAATCGGATCACGTGTTCAAACCCCCGTGTATCACATGCTCCTTAAAGATTTGCAGGTTAATAGACGTTGTATGTTAATTATTCCGTACTACATCGAACATTATGAAGTTACGATTTACAGTTTGTGATCATTAATGTTCTTGCATGTTGTGCACATAAAAATTTCACTGTCTGTCCAGCACGTAGTAAACATCCCGCCCAGTTCAAATGTCGGCCCCGATAGATGTGTTACTTATTCTCGACAGTTGACGAAACCTTACACTACACTCACGGTCTGCGTCACACATACATGTTGTGACCTCTAAACACGAGAACGGAAAATGTTTGATACTGTACATATATATTTTTTCTCATTTCGAAACGCAATCTTCTATCCCCCTACAGATTTACTATCATTAGCATCATCTTAAATCGAAATTAAAGGTAGTGCAAAACGCAATCTTGAATCCCGAAGAAATGTACAATCATTTGCGTCGTCGTAAATCACGGATTAAAGTTAGTCCATGATACACACCTTTCACAATAGTCGTTTTACATACTGCAAAATACATAACCATTTTTGTACATATTATTGTTACTGCCCGACAGTTGACATGTCGTCCCCGACAGATAGTCTCAGTAATTCTCGACAGTTCGATCGGAAAACGCAAAAAACATGACATGAATTGCATCTTAGAGACATGTTCACGTGGACTTTTTGGTATTGTCTTAACTAAGGTCATCCCTACAAAATACCTTACTATACAGTACTTATTCACTACATTCCATGGGTCTCACATTAGTCGTCGTCGACAACTGAACCACGGTCCCCGCTATCCTCACCTGACTCGTCGGAAGAGAGGATAATGACCTCATTTGGGGGATCGTACGCCATCCAGTCGTCGTCATCGTCGAAATCCCCCTCGTATCCGACATCCAGCTCGAACTCCTCATTGAGGACTCCATTCGGTGATTGCGCACCCTCGTTGGAAACAACTTCTAAGTTGGGAAAACGAACAGGGAAAATGGCTCCCCTCCCAATACGAGGGTTAACTTCCTCCTCATCTGACGAAATATAAATTGGAAAAAGCGGAGATGAACCAAGAATTGGCAGTGGCTCGTTCATGTTCAACGGTTCGTTGCTTCCTGTAGAAGAACTCATTACGTGAACGTATAGTAGTACTGAAGGAATGATAAGTGTCTGTGAGAAGGTGAATGGGTGACAATGGTCTTGAAGGAACTTGTTTGTAAGTGAGAATGAAGTCCCACACTTTTTATAAGCAAATTGAAGGGGAAACAATTATGGTCTCCACCTACCCAACCGCCAAGTCCATTCTCCTAGTAAATTTGAAATGCAATTGGTGTGATGGTTGAATAAATGAAGTGCACCTTTATCCCACATTTCCCCATACTTAGTACAATGTTAAACACTCTTTAATCATGTGCACAATTAAGGAAATGTGCATATCTGCAACAAAAAACTGCTCAATCAAATTGCTACTTTTAATTTGCCATGGTTGTAATGGTATAGTTCCTCACACGTACGGGTCATCATCGCAACACACATGGAAGACGAACAGCGAAATAATTATTTTTACTCATTTCATTGATTTATGAATTTCTTTTTACCGTGGTTGTCATGCTCTTGACAGTTGTAACGACTCATCTTCTCGTTGCATCTCATGTATGTGCCTTAATGCCTTAGTTTGAGAATTTATCATAATAATATCGTCCCCGATTAAAGCTATAGTGAAGACTAGATACCAGTACATAAATTTATGAAATATAACATTCCCTATTTAACGTAAGCAACACGGGTGTAAGAAGCGTAACACAAATTAGAAAATCTTAAAGACTCGAAGTATATTACTACATCTATAATAAGATTGGATCGAATATCAACAATATCAAGAAAACAGTAGTTACAAAGCATTTCGGGAAATTGACATGTTGCATACGCATGTTCCCCTCCTCCAAAAGAAAATAAGCGCACACAATATGTCCAACAAAAACATATACCGAACAACAAAACGAACCTGATTGATACAATCAAGAAAGGTAAAATAGCAGACACAATTCATAAACACTACAACTACCGATCAGCCAAACAAAATAAAATATGAGGATTCTGTCCACGTATCACCACGGTACACAAGAGTAATGAAAATGTAATGTAAAAAGAATTCTAACAAAAGTTATTTATCCAACATGTTAACATCCGTCACCACCTTCACCAAATCGCTGACAGGGTATTACCAAATACAACACCACCGTCGTGCTGTCCCCACAGTTCACACTCCTTTTACTTCTTCGTTCGCTTCGCCGCCCTTGTATATGGAGTCCTGGCCGCAGGAGCTGGACGTCGCACCCGTGCCGAGCGCCGACTCGTCGTACGGACTCCGTGTCCTGGTTCGGCTACACTGGCGGGAACAGGGACTTCAGCGAGATCGCCTACGAGAATTCAAAAGTAGGGGGGAGTTAGTGACCATAAATGCCCTTCACGTAGCATACGTAACATACAATAAGTGATGCAGAGAATGAACTTACCATCACCATCCGTAACATCGCAACCCTGTAAGTCGGCATCGTTGCTCGGGGCCGCATGTGAGGGCTCCATGGCTCCTCCATCTGACATTACAACACATTTGTAACTGCATATGTGTTCGACGTTTGCAGTTGGAAGATAATGGAAGCATACAGGAAGAAAGAAAATGAGAAAAATAATTTGCATGTTACCGTTCAAATCCGGGACGGCAAATATCGGCTCCATCTGTCCTCCACCTAATTGGAGACCACAATCACACCATAGGAATATGTTATTGCATTTTCATGAAGTCAGAACGGAAGTAGATGCCATCGAATATAGTAGGGAAAAATCGTAGCACATGACAACGTACCTATCTGTTCATCGGTTGCTACGTGCAGTGGGTCGTGTACGTTGTCCGGGCGAGCCGCGATGTCTCCTCCATCTATTCATGAGAACATGAAAACTGTGTGAATACATTAGGTTTCCCAACTTCCACAACATACAAAGTCCGTCAAATAACAAGTTTCAATGTGGTCATAAAAAACCCACGTACCTTGTACATGTGTAGTTCCTATATCTGCTCGCATGTCTCGCTCGTCTGGGGATTGCTCCATTTCTCCTCCATGTATTTCTAACTCGCAATTGTCGTATGGAAAAAAATGTGAGCTACAGGTGCATGTGCTACATGTCGAACATGGGTGAAAATTATAAACCAAACGGTTTATGTATTGAACATTCATACCTTGCGGAATACTACCTGAAACGCCACCCTCGGTATCGACGGGCATCGCGGCTGGAACGGGGGTCGGAGCAGGTGGGGCCACGAGGGTAGCGAAGAAAGCTCGGAGTTTTTTACATTCGGATGTCACGTGCTGTTCGATTTCAAGCTTGACGGTGCGAAGTCGCATTTCAAAGAGAATTCTTTGGTCGAACAACAGCTCTTCGACCTCCTCTTTGGTGACGCTTGATCCGGATGTGCCAACTGGCCGTGTCTCCATCGTCGGCCCTCGCACTGGAGAAGATACGTGGGTCGCTGGAGGTGTGGAAGACGCACCGATCTTCCCTCTACAAGTATCCGCACCGACGCTGGATCGCTCACTGGCCCCTCGCCACTCTCCTCGGCATCGGCACCTTCATCTTCAGACGTGTCATCCTCACCACCTCCTCCGCTCGAGACTCCGTCATCGGATTCCTGCCTCACCAACTGGCCGCCACTTCCACTACCTCCGTGTGATGCATTAAACTGCGGCCCCACAACATTCCTGGCAATCTCATCCAGCACAGGCACCAGAGGATCATCGTACGGCACGAGAGTGGAGAAATACTGCTGTTTCGCCTCAGCGTCGGTGGGACGAAGTGTGGCATACACATGCAACTGCAATGTACGGTTATACATTAGAAACGAAAAGATTCAGGAATGACACGAAACGTGAATAACAAAAGTAACACATGGTATCCATACCCGCACGTTCTTGAAGAATGCATCGTACGTACGATGCTGTGGTTGTTTTCGTGCGGACCACCTAAGCAATCGTGGCATTTGTTCCCCAACTCTCTGACCAAAACATTCCCCAATCTCAGGAACTGCCTCGTACGCCCAAACTTGTTCCATCAAGACAAACAGAAATAAAATAACTGAGATGGTACGCACGATGCTACATGACGACAAACAAATAAAGCATGATATGCTAGTATTTAAAACATTGTATACCTGCATGGCAATGGAAAATCCATGAATAGTGTATGTAACCTCCTTCTCTTGCCTCCTCTTCGCCTTCAGAAATTTCTTTGCCCAGAAACCCCAGAATCCGTGCAGCAAACTCCGATAGCCGACTCTACCCCAAGGGTAGGCAAAAAAGATATCTAGGTCGTCAACAATAGATAGTGTACACAAATCAATTCCGACGTTATTATCAGGGGCATTGAAAACTCCTTCGACTATTAGCACGAGCCCTAGCTTGTAGCGGTCGGCTCGGGCCGTCGAAGGTCGGGCAATAGTAGTCTGGAGTTGTGCCAACGATATTATCTCCATGGATTTGAAGTACCTCTCCTTCAGCCTTCTCCTCTCCAGCACTCGATCGAACTCATCACCCTTCGGGAATACACCGCATCTTAACCCCGTCACAAGGGTGTATTCCTGTAGACCGAATCTCATCATGTTGCCTTGCACATTGAACCAGAGCTCGTTAACCTTGTCAGTGCGAATGGTTCTGAACACGAGCTGCTGGATGAGCTGGGCAGAGAATTGAATCTCTGCAACCTCGGCCAGATACCCGAATGGGGAGTTTCGAAACTCGTCGCGCTGTCGGTCATCGAAAACGTCCATCACTGTCTTCACATACTTCAAGTTGCTCCTCTGTGAAATGTGGGCCCGCAACCTTGCCTCCTCTTGAATACAATAATCAAACTCCATCAGTCCTGTGTCCTGCAAGATGCATTCATAAAACTCACTCGGGTTACTGGATAAGCTTAAAGATATTGTATCATAAGTAGCAGTTTAATGAAACACACTAAGGCATGGACACACTCAACTGTCGAGAAAAACTGACTACAACCGTCGGTACCGACAGATGATCTGTCGAGATCTGTCTATAGCGACAGTTGATGTCTAAACATGCAAGAAGGCTGGCCTAACTGTCGAGAAAACCTGAGCTTTACTGTCGGGAACGACAGTTCAGTGGGAGGCATTGAACTTGTTATTGATGAGATAAAAATTACGTAACTTAATCACTATTACCACGTAATATTAAAGCAAATATTTGAATGGATTGGAGCCCCAATAATGCATGTAAACAAATGATTGACAGTTTAGTGGGAGGCATTGAACTTGTTATTGCTGAGATAAAAATGACGTAACTTAATCACTATTATCACATAATATTAAAACAAATATTCGAATGGATTGGGGCCCCAATAATGCATGTAAACAAATGATTGAAAATGATTGATGTATTATACAAGCTTTAGCATTCAGTGATTGAAATATAAATAATGGAAACGTGATATTGATAAGCAGAATAGTTAACAAACATTAGACCTCATTATCATGTGCCTAATGCCCAGCAACACACCTAAAACTCTACCGTTATATAACGGTATCCTATGGCATTATATTACAGTATATTAAAAAAATTCATGTTGTCTAAGTCTAAGGAAATATAAAATTGGAATAAACTGTGAACAAAGATCTTTGAGATCCATGTTCACAGTCACAGCTTACCAGAAAGAAGAGGGGAAAAAGAAAAAGATAGCAGAAGTATGTCAGACAAATGATGAGAAAGATAAACTAAATAAGTATTCCCAACTCCACTGCTCTTCACAATTCAATATAAGAGACTACAAATGCCTCTTACCCTAAAATTTATTAACTGGGTGGGGGCGTGGGAAGCATGTTAAAAGTCCCGGTTACATGGGAGTTTTTGTCACAATGCTTCTTCGATTTTCAGATTATGAAATTCCAACCTGCATATGGTAGCAAGATGCAATTCAAATCAACCTGCAATCCCCAATGCTGGTAATCATACGTCTGAAATAATCCTGAACAAAGTTTTTTAATCCACAGCTTCCATTTTCATTTTGTATGGTGTGACAATTATACTCCGCCAAAATCAACACATTGATATGTCTATATGAAGTACACATGTCGTCGTACGCTCAATAAGAATCATACTGACTATAACTAGATCGTTAGATTAGGATTTTAAAACAATTACACGGAGTAGACCACAATCTAAAGAAAAAAGAAACTGAAATGGAGGTCAATACTTTGATTGCGTGTTGAATCTTTCCACCAGAAGGTGATATGATAAAACGAATGTGTCAACCGAAAGAAGAATCAACATTAGATGGTAATATTACAGACAAGTACACATCTCAATGAAAATCCATGTATCTGACATAGTTTCTAATAGAAACAACTCCACCCTACTGAGACGAAATTGTAACTCCACATGATAAAATATTTATTTTCTCCACTTATCTACATCTCCCATTCATGTGATATTGCGCCCCCAAGGGATATACTTTGGTCACCACAATCGAGACAAACATTCAAATGAGCCTTGCTATCATATGGTATCCAAAATGGAGGAATATTATGTAGGACTACTTCGGGATCTATCAACTATAATTTTAAATTTTTACTTCTAATATGGTAGCATAAAATGAGGAACTTCACGGTTCATTAATTTTATGGTTGAGATGACTTGGAAAAGGTGGGTTTTCAGATACACAACTGAAGGTTTGGAGCTTCAGGAGGAAATGGCTAAAAATTTTTTTTTAGTTCAACAGGCTGTTCTAGGTGTTGTGTTAAACAATACCCTAGAAGATAATCATTCAATTAGTGAGGTTTCATGGTGTCAAAGGGATTAGGAAAAATCCGGGCATCTCAAAAACAGTTGGGTTGAAAACACATGACGCGATCCACATGGAATCAAAAGCTCAGAAATGTTTAAGTACACTAAACAACTAAATTGAAGAATGGCACGAGTAATTCTTAGAGTTCGATCCCTACCATCCAACTAGGATGGACTTCGAGCCATATACAAGTGGAGGAAAACACAAAAATAAGGAATACCAAGTACAAGCTTCTCTGACATTCCAAAAACTTCACCAATTCACACACTTTTTAGGACAACAGTAATATCATGAACTGTGAAATATCTAGAAAGTACACCAATGCTGAGCTTAAGAAGACAGTGACAACTATATCATGATAAACTTCACCAATTCACACACTTTTTAGGACTACAGTAATATCATGAACTGTGAAATATCTAGAAAGTACACCAATGCTGAGCTTAAGAAGACAGTACAAAATTTGCTAGGAAAACTGCAAGAAATTGTACAGAGAAAATACTAGTATGCATAACATTACAAGTCAAAAGGCATCTTGCAAGATGAGGCCGCCAGCAATTGAATTCAGATTCAATGATAATTTTCAGTAACGAAAAAAAAAATTACTTCTTCAAAGGAAATAAAATGTGCATTTCAAAAAGCAATCTTCACCTTCTAATTGTTCAACAATTGCATAATGAAAGAAATGTGGCTGCATCCTACTATTGGCCAACAAATAGGAACAAAATTTGAAATTACAATGGGAAGTCAGAAGATGGGTGGATTTACCTTCGCCTTTGTTCGGTTTCTCTGGCAGTCGCAAGGGAGAAGACAGCCTCGACGTTGTGCTCAGCTTCGGGCGATTCGAGTGACAATGGGAGTGATTTCGACTTAGCTTCGGGCGATTCGACGGCCACTGGGAGTGATTTAGACGTTGACGATCGGCGTCCAAGGCTGTGACTGCGGTCGGCGACTGCAGAGAGAGGGTCGGCGATTGCAGAGAGCTTCGACGTTGTTTTGGGTGAGAGGCGACGTTTGGCTCTCTTCCTTCATCTCGTTTTTTTTTCTTTGTTTTTCTTCTCCAAACACTGCCTAGTCAAATCTACAATTAATGCAAAACCTGTAAGGTATTACATTTCTGCAGAGGGGTAAATTAGTCCAAAACTTTCATAATTTGCCATATTTGTAATGTCAGAAAAAGGATGACATTTGTGTAAGTAAAAATCAAGATTTTGACATGTGGTGTAATTTCCACATTTTTCATTTTTTTTTTATAAATGAAGTTCAACTTATTTTCACATTAGTCCGTACTATGTTTTTTCAATCCATTTGGTTACCAAAATTAAATTTTCTTAGATGATTGGTCTCTTTGTTAACGCCAGAAATGCTGGCTCAATTTAAATAGTTTAAGCCCCTGTTGGAGCCACATTTTTACCTCATTAAAATAAAAAATATGACCGTTATCCATCATATCAAGCCACCATTTTTGAATTTCTATTTCTGGTGTGGGGCCCATAACGGCTCTATTTCTCATTCTCATTCTCATTTTCATTATAATGTGGTTCAAACAGGCTCTTAAATTCATATTTAACATCCTGCTTAAATGGAATTTGCAAAAATGGTCCCAAGCCTATGGACTCCTTTGGGAAAAAAATTGCAAAAATGGTCCCCAGCCTATGGACTCACTTGGGAAAAAATGACTATTGTTTTCATTTATGGCAATGCCACCCTCATTTCTACCTTTTAGTGCACAAGTAGTCCTTGCAGCACATGCCGACCATGTGTAACTTGTTTTAATGGAAAATTTCATATTTAAGAAATTAAATATGGGCTTGTTTGGGCCCGATTTTTTGACCGTTATTTCTTTATTTCAGCCGTCATATTTCACTTCTTCTTTCACAGGTGGACCCCACTTTTCTCCTACGGTCAAAAAATCAATTCTCAAAATTACTCCCAAACAGACTCATATAACTTATTTCAAAACTCAAAAGCAAGGTTTAAAATTTCGAAAAAATGTATTATTAAATTTTATTTATGAAATAATTAATTAAAAATATATTTTATTAATTAAATATATTAAAGTCACAATTTTATATAATTTGATCATAAATTTTGAATTAATTGGTCACGATTATTTTTCAGTTACGAACAAAAAATTTTATAAGTTACAAATTATTTCACGGTTGCAAATCAAAATTTTTATCTATCACAATTTATACACCGATTATAAATAAAAAAATTTATAGTTCACAACTTATATATCAATCACAAATTTTGCAAGTCATGATTCAAAATTTTTCACCACCTTAGGTCATCTTCAACGCTGCACCGAAATTTGCACAATTTTGTATCAAATTTTGCACCAAACCAAAATTCTTCTCCAACCATTACGTCAAAACTTACATAAAATAAACAGTGATTTATTATTTTATTCATTCTTTCAATTTTTGACAATGTATTTATTTAAAAAATTATTTATTTATTTATTTTATAACTATATAAATTACGAAATCATAATTTCATTAAATTAACAAATATATTGATTACTAAATTATTCACACGTTTTATATATCATGTTAAATTGACAAAAATAATTAATTATATTATTAATTTATGATAAATAATTACGTTAAATTTATAAAAATAATAAACTTTAATAATATAAACTTTACGTTAAATTAACAACTACGTTAATTATTATTTGATTATATTATTAAAAATAATAAACTTTAAAAGTAAACTTTACGTTAAATTAACAATTATGTTAATTATTATTTGATTACATTATTAAAAATAATAAACTTTAATAATATAATTAATAGTGTAATTAATTATCATCATCATTATTATTATAGATAAAAAATGACACAAATATCCATAACTATTATATTTGAAAAATGAAAAATAAGGACAAAATGGACATTACACCATTTGATACAAAAAATGGTGTAATGAATAGTGTTGCACATTTTGCACAAAAATTTGGTGCAATGGTTTGAGGAAGTTTGCACCAATTTTTGGTGCAATAGGACATGTATTGGAGATGCCTTTACAACCACTATCACCAACAAGATCCAACAAAATTGTCGCCTACCATTACCTAAAAAACACCACCACATTAGATCCACAACAAAAGCCTCACCACAACCATCATTCCAACACCGTCAACAACCAAATGCTACAGCACAACACCATCACAATGATATGTGCCACCGACAGAACTACCATGACAGTTGCACTTCCACCGACGACGTTGAGCAACGAAAGGCACAATCGTTGAACGGCTACTGGTGTGTCGTTGCTGTGCACCAAGTAGCGACGAATTGTGCCCTGTCGCCAACGTAGACTTGTTTCTCTATTCACCATCTCCTCTGTTTCACCTAATCTATTTTGTGTGGCGTTGATAGTTGAGGGAAAGATGGTGGATTTGTGGTGGTAATGGCGTCGACAGAGGAAGGGGCTGCGGCTTTGGGGATCTTTTTGGTGGGTGTGGTGCTGGTGAGGTTGTGTCGATGGTGTGGTGGTGGCGACAGCGAGAAACGGCTAGAGAAAAGGGAGAAGGTGGGATAGAGATGAGAGAGAATGGAGATGATGAAAATAATTAGGGTTTTGGTGTGTGTGGTTGGGTATGGGCTAAATGGGATGAATATGTATATTATATTTTGTAATATAATTATTTATATTTAAAATTTTAATTATTATCTGATTTTTGAAATAAAAACTTGTAAATCTTAATTTTGAAATGAAAAGTTTAAAATTCTAATGGGCTGTAATTTTCACTTGTTTTAACGAGGCGAGAGCCCATTTTTATGTTGTCGTGAAATTTGTTTAGATGAGTACTTACTTTACAATTAAATATATGAAATATACTATTTATACATAATATGAAGTTCATAAAGGTGTTCACTCCCTTTACATGGAGGGGGACGAAGTCCATATAAGGGGAGTAGACATCTTTATGAACACTTTAATATATGTGTAGCATCACCTCTAAAAATATTGACTCCTTAATAAACTCCACAAGATGCTTTAACTAAATTTGTCTTTTATTATTGTTTCTGTTTTGATGTCATAAAAAAATTACTCGTAATCCCATTATGTGTCTTGACCATAAATTGTGACCCATTCTCATAAAGCTAAACATACTATAAAGTTATTATGTATTTATTGTTTTAAAAGATGCTTCTCGATTCACGTTTTTGGCAATCTTGCCTTGAGAGACAGGCATACTATCAACTAAATACATGCACCAAGATATGTACAAACAATCTGTTATCAAGATTAATGTGTATCTGTGTTGTATAAATACTCAATGGCTAAAATACATTAGATTAAAACCTACTTCGAACCATTTGAGAGTTCAACTTGACTTTGTCTTTGTCAGATTAATTAAATAGTTCAGAATAGATGGTTGACCCACAAAATCTATCATTATGGGTCCGACCATGGGAGACATTATCTGAAACCATCAATGATACGACTAAAAAAGGTGTTCCCCTAGACAGAGGCACCGTCCCTGACAACTAATCAAAAGAAAGCCGTGATGACTATAGTTTAGGCATTATGATAACCCTTTTACAATCGAACTTCTCAGCCAATCAAATCTATTCAAAATGGATGATAATACACAAATTAAAGTCAAACATTGTAGTTTGATATGATCAAAATGACAAATATATATGCGACAATCTATATTAAAGCGAACGGATGAATGAGAATAGGGTGAGCTATCAAAAATTTCTCTGTAGTACCATAAACAATTTTTAGCAAATCACTCTCTAATTTTGTTCAATTCTAGTACATATATAACCGTATTTCCTTTCAAATTTCTTTAAATTGATGAAGTAGTGTCACATCATTTTTCATCATCAACGGCATTAATTGCTCCTGATATTGTTAGCCCCCGTTTAAGCCCAATTTATGGGTCAAAAATGTATTTTATAATGAAAAATTTTGAGTTCACGTGTAAAATTATTTTATGGGATAATATATGATTGAAAATGAGGAAACTTAATATAAATAGTACCAGAAATGCTGTTTGTATAGCATGTATATGCTGTAAATTTTTACAGCCCTCTCATAAATGTGGGGCCCGTGATTATTTTAATCGTGGATCCCACTCTTATATGTGAGAAGGTTGTCAACAAAGCTGTATAATGTCGTGTACGTGTAGCATTTTTCAAATAGTACACACCTATTACCTCAATTAGCAACTGTGCAAACTCTGCAGCTCCATAACCAGATGTCAAATTGTCACTAAACAAATCCTGTATAATCTTAATTAAACCAAATCATGTTGCCCACCTTTTGATTAAAAAAGTCTATGGAATTTATTGAAAGTTTCAAAATAAAGAGATCAGAATAAAATCATGAAATAAATTAATTTACAATGTTACCGCAATAATTATATGAATCAAACTTGATTATGCAAACAACAAAATAATCCAAATCCTGGATCATTTTTTCCTGAAAAATAGGATAGAAATTCTGCAGAGACACGTTCATTTTGATAAACTATTCAGATCGTGAAAATCACTTCTCATTTATTTTTTTCCTCTCTTATATATAGGGAGATGCCATTTCTTCATCCTGTCAAAAAAATTCCTTTTTTTTCCTCAATTAAAATTCAAAAATTTCCTTCAATTTCACCCATCCGCGTTTCAGTTCTTCCATTTTACTAGAAAGATTGAATCTTTGACAAACCCACATTTCAAATCATGCATATGCGTAGAATATGCATGTAACATCGTGTAGTTGATTCATGAATTTGGGGTTTGTTGTGATGTGTAATTTGGGGATGAATATCTGGCGATGGCAATGAGGGTAGAGGTAGAGGTAGAGGGAGATGGAGGTGGTAAGATCAGAAAGGGACATTGATAAATTGCCGTTATTGCAGGGGCAGGCGGTTCAGAGATCAAGATTACAAGCTTGGTTTATCAGAATTTGTTCTAGCATTCTAATATGGACCTGTTTGGTTCAGCTTGTCACAGTTGGGGAACTGTGGCATCCTCGGCTATTCACCGGAGAATTGGGATTTAGAAAAATGTCGGTTGGTGGAGAAGAATCCCTACCTTCTTCACCCCCACCCCCGGTTCCTTCTAGTGAGTAATCTCTTTTTGCTAATTTGAACTTGTTTTTGAGTGGTGCATTATTGCCTACATGAATTTATATTCAAATCTGTGATGTCTATGTCAGTTAAATAGTAATGATGTATACATTCATGTATATAGTTATTAGGTCCTATATTGAATATATAAGTTAGTGAAACTCATAGATAAGGTTGTGACTGGGAATTTTTACCTAAAACCAGGACTAATATTTGTGGGCAATTTGATGAATATGAAAGTTTGCATCATCAGGCTGAGATAGTTGGGGTAACTAGATGCGTTCTCAAAGTCGATAGGACCTAAGTTTTATGCTTCTGTACCAATCGAGGTAATTTGCAATATTGGCAAACAATGAGGAGGAATCTCATATTATACAAGCTATAAATCTACTGGTATCATACATAAATAACCCCACTTAAATTTTGGCTTCCGATTTTCGCATTAAATGAATGGTGCCAGTTGTTGAAAAGCCACTTCTCTCTCTCTCTAAAAGAGTAGAATAATTGCAGAACTTAGGATAAATTTGAAAATCCAATAGCTGTGGTGTTGTACTTTCTTGTACTGTTTAAGATTCAAGTCTAATATACTGCAGGAAATTACAGAAGTAATGGTTTTCTTAAAGTCTCTTGCAATGGCGGCTTGAATCAAATGCGCTCAGAGGTTTGTATTTTTAGTTTCATTCTTTATTCTCTTGTTAACTACATAAGTTTCGCCTCAACTAATTGGCAACCTGAACTTTCAGATTTGTGACATGGTCACAATTGCTAGGCTGTTAAATCTTACTTTGGTTGTTCCCGAGCTTGATAAGGCATCATTCTGGGCTGATCCTAGGTATATTTTACTATGGAAAAGTAGTCACGCACATGCATAGAAATCTGTCATTTATTCCTTTCTGCAGCTTGAAACTCTGTTATTTTACTTGCAGTAATTTTGAGGATATTTTTGATGTGAGACATTTCATTGATTCATTAAGAGATGAAGTTCGAATTATTAAGAGGTTGCCCAAGAAGTTTGGGGCAAGATATGGATTTAAACCGCTTATAATGCCTCCTGTAAGCTGGTCAAATGAGAAATACTATTTGCAACAGGTTTGTATATTTCTTTTATCATGAATATTTTCGTGGCATAAGCAAGTTCCTTGTGCGTACAATGTTAATTTGTAAGTGTTAATTTGTAAGTCAATGTACATTGTGCATTTTACTTCCCTTGAACTTCTGCCAAGATAATTCCCCTTATTTGTTAATCCTTATTTATATTCGTCAACTGCCATCAACAATTCCATGTCAGCATCACCTAATTTACAAATGATATGTGGCTAGCCCTTTTGGTGCATGACAACGGAAAAAATTTAGCAGTTTGGTGTCTAAGGCTTTACATGCTTTTCTATGTAGTGATTCATGTTTGCAACATGAGAAGGAGAATACGATTTTTAGGTAAGCATCATTGCTTGCACCAGTGGCTATAAAGCAATAAGTGTCAGATTTATATTGGTTCTCGAGAAAAACCTCCATAAGAAGAATAGGTTTTGAAGTCTTGCTTGATTGAGAGACTAACAGCCAGTTTTTTCTGTTGTTAACTTTGCATAACTGATGGGAATCACTGGTGAACGTAAAGAAAACAATGGAATAATGAGAGCCCAAAGGGTTTGTATTGATTGAAGGAAAAGATTACAGAAAACTGGAATGATAAATTGCAGCCTTTAGAGAGGACTGTGTCTATCCTATATCTCACTTTAATCACAAAAGTCATGCCCCTTCTATTCTCACATCTACTATTTATAAGCGTGTTAAAGCAGATTTTGGTTACAACACAGCCTTCCTAACAGAATCAGTTGCTGCCCCCACTCACTCCATTCTTCTTGATTCTTATGGAATAAGTTTGCTTGATTGGGGGCCTATCAATTACCCTCCCCAATTCAGCCACCTTGTCCTTAAGGTGGAAAGTGGGAAATTGTAGGCTGATTAGGCTGTACGGCTCCCAAGTGGCTTCCATTGGAGACAACCCTTTCCATTCTATCACGACTTCCATATCATCAGCATTATTTGATAAGGCACCTCGGGCTCCCAACACCGCCTCTGGCTCCACTACTAACTCCCAATCCGTGCCAAGATTGAGTGGTCAGATGATGCTCCCCGACCGCTTTCCGCAATTGCGATACATGAAAGACCGGGTGAATTTAAGGTTCCAGGCGATAGGTCTAGTTTATAGGTGACCTTTCCCACCTTAGCCACGATTTTAAAAGGCCCGTAGTAGTGAGGAGCCAGCTTTTCATTGACTTAGTGTGCCAAAGTTTTGCGATGATACGACTTCATTTTTAGTGGGTGTTTGGTAGGGATTAAAATTAGATTTTTGAAAGAAGTTTTTGAAATGTGTGGTTGAAAAGTTGTAGGTCCCATAAAATACGTGGTTAAAATTTAATATTGACTTTGAATTTAGATTTTAATCCAAAAAACCAAGCTCTTAAATACTCTAAATCACTTGCTGGAAAATCCACTGCACGTCGATGCTTATTAGCCATGTTCTTCATTTGCTATTGAGCTCGTTGCAAGTGAATTTTGAGCTCCTTCAAGACCGTGTCGCGTTCTACTAACTGCTGGTCCAAGGAAGAAAAAATGGTGGTGCCTTTCTCGAATGTAATAGAGATGAATGCTCTTTCCCATATAGTATGCGAAAAGGTATCAGTTGTGTAGATACATGGAATGAAGTGTTATATGATAGTTCTGCCAGAGACAAAAAACGGTACCATTCTTTTGGTCTGAATGCAGCAAAGCAGCGCACATATGTTTCGACCCCCGATTAACCACTTCCGTTTGACCGTCAACTTGTGGGCGATAGGCTGAACTATCTTTTAATTTCTTCCCCTGCAGGCGAAACATTTCGCTTCAAAATTTGCTCAAGCATACCTTATCCCTAATACTATCGAGCATGGCATCCTATGCATAACCTCACCTCTGCACCGATGTTCATCACATAATGAAATACCTATAGTGCACATGCCATTGACAGAAGATCATGATGTCTTATCAGGGAATTATTTGATTCTATTTTCGAAAGCAAAATGGTGTCCTAGCCATTTAAATAGTTGCACACCACTAATTGCATTGAATTTATTTGTAACCTTTTGCAATCAAATTATGAATTTTGTTTGGGAAAAAAAAATTAGAATTCATGTCATTATAGTTTGAATTGGATGTCCAAAAAGTTTTAGAATGAGGATAGAGGTTGAAATATATATCAACAAATAAAAGCATTTTGGGAAGTAAACTATTATGTTTAGTTGCAATATAATGGAGAGAGAGCAAACAAGCTTTAATCAAGACATCAAAATTTTGTTTCCCTTTTACTTTTTCTTTTGTGTGATCCATTTATTGCTTATAAATGGAGTTCTTGAAAGTTTATTTTTAGTGTGGGAATCTTAACACTTGCTACTACAGTGATGCTATTCTTCAGTTAATTTTTGTTGCGCTGGAATAGAACGAGACATTTTGTTCTTATGTTTTAGATTCCACATGCAGATTTTGCCTCTCTTCAGCCAGCATAAGGTTATATACTTCAACAAAACAGATGCTCGACTGGCAAATAATGGGATCCCTCTTGAGCTTCAGAAACTCAGGTGTCATGTCAATTTCCAGGCGCTAAAGTTCACACCTGAGATTGAGGCTCTGGGAAACAAGTTGGTTCATATTCTTCAAGAAAAGGGACCATATTTAGCATTGCATCTCCGATATGAAATGGACATGTTGGCTTTCTCAGGTTGTACTCATGGCTGTACTGTAGAGGAGGCTGAGGAACTCAAACGGTTAAGGTAACTTCGATGAAATTGATTCATTGTTTGAATGGAAAGAAACAAAATTACCTGTTCGTAGTTGCCATTTCGGAAAGTAATCAAAGATCTTATATGGTACAACAAATCGATGATGAAGAAATGATCATAATGTCGTTCATGATATGAGCATTGTCTGTGATTGATTATTTTCAATTTTAGATTGTTTTGCATTTTCACTGTTACTATTTTTCCCGGATTCAGTGTTTAGGGTTTTAAACTTCTTAGTTTTCTTCAATTTCCCACCTTCTGCACACTTAAATTTTCATTTTTACATTATATTATCAAAACAGGTATGCATTTCCTTGGTGGAGGGAGAAAGAAATAGTATCAGAGGAAAGGAGATCTCATGGCTTATGTCCTCTTACCCCAGAGGAGACGGCTTTGATTCTGCGAGCATTGGGATTTGATAAGGAAACCCAAATCTATATTGCATCTGGTGAGATCTACGGAAGTGAACGCAGACTTACTTCTTTAAGAGCTGCCTTTCCAAGGATTGTGAGTGATGCTGCTTACTTCTCTTTCTTTCTATAGCATGTTGGGTAAGGTGGACTAGACATAAGACATTGCATAATATTGAGAAAGAAAAGAAAGTTAAAATCTTGTCCATTGCACTGTTCAGCCATTTGCAATATTGGATAGACCAAGTATGGGTTTATTGTTTTCTTAGGAGGAAATCATTAGGGGTGATTATCATATCCGCTCAACTTTTTGGTTTCTCGGGATGCCTTAAATTTGTACGTTTGTAAACGACATGACCATAGTTTTCGCGTGCTTGTAAACAAGTCATTTATGTGCCTTATCTATTGCTTCTAGTTTTTTCGTTTTGCAAACTTATTGTTTCTCTAAATATTAGTCATTGTGATTTCAGGTTAAAAAGGAAATGCTGCTAGATCCCAAAGATTTGCTGCAGTTTCAGAATCATTCATCTCAAATGGCAGCCCTCGATTTTATGGTTTCTGTTGCTAGTAATATTTTTATTCCCACATATGATGGAAACATGGCAAGAGTCGTGGAAGGTCATCGTAGGTACCATCTATGAGCTTAGCAATGTGGATTATCTGTATTAATAGGCTATTCTATATCTGTTAGACAGTTGTGTTTCCATCTTATGCAGGTACCTTGGTTTCAAAAAAACCATCAAACTGGATCGCATAAAGCTTGTAGAGTTGTTGGATTTACTTCAAAATGGGACACTCACCTGGGATGAGTTTTCAGCTGCGGTACAAGTGGCCCATGAGAGAAGAATAGGACAGCCAAGTCAACGTAAGGTTATTCCAGACAAGCCGAAAGAAGAAGATTACTTCTATGCGAATCCTCAAGAATGCCTTTGTGAAAGCATTAGTTGTGACGACTTATCAAGTCCTGGTAATGCAACTACAATCATATGATACATTGCTGTAAAATCTTTTTTTTTTTTTGGCATCGATCTGTCAATACATGTGGTGAAAGTGAGGTTAACTATGCCACTCCAATAATCTGAGACTTGTTTTGATGGATACATGCACTCAAAAACGAACTGTCGACTGAAGTTGCTGCTGGTTCCTATCAAGAATTGATCATCGTTTGTGAAGAATTCTCAAGAAAGAAGGAACTTTTAAGCTAAAAGATAATTGAAAAGATTCAAAATGTCTTCATTCATTTTGTTAATATGTAATTTTATTTTCTTCTGCTGATAGAATAATGCCGTGTAATTTTGGATATTGTCATTCATACAGAAATTTCCTCGTTAATTGCTATACCAGAAAATGTTGTGCATGCTCGTGGTCTTTAACAATGGCTATATTCTCTATCTTCCAAAGGCTATAATAATATGTACTTGGCCTTGGGTCTGAGGCGCGCACAGCCCCTTATAGGACCGTGTCATGTACTGTGAAGGGCTGGCTAGCTTGGATCCTTTGCACCCCTAGTCCCTATTCCACACCTAAACTAGTCTTTTCTGTGCATTTCGCAGTGGTCTAGGATAAAAATTGTTTGTTTGAGTAATCAAGATTTATACAAGTTACAAATGGTAAGCATGAATTCAAATCTATAAGTTTTATATTTTAGAAAGCATTTTCAAGCAAATCTTTAAATCTTGGGGGTAATTTTCAATCTCTATATATACTGCATAAATGGTTATCAGTAAAAGAAGATAGGTGTAAAAAGAGGGAGAAGGAGAAAGAACTTTTCTGTCTAATACTTTATTCAATTCAGAAATCTGCAGCCTTTTTATATAGGCTAATACACAACAGAAATAACAAAAAAAATATACATTGACCTGGAAGTAATGATGTATGCCTCACCCTATTCCACTCTTGGTTTTTGTTGATTAACAAGTAGAAATTCATGCTGAGCGTCCACCTAGATACACATGATCTTGACCAAATTCAGTAGGGTAATAGTAAAACATACTGCGGTTGTTTGAACAATTTTAGTACGTAAAGATGAATTTAACTATATTTCACAGGCAAAAATTACAACGAAAAAGATGGTGAAATGCAGATATCATGTATCAAGATAATAATTATATGATAAAATGATCTGAAATTTGAAAAACTGGAGCTGAATCCACAAAATATGCAACCGCAAAACATAAATTTCCGATCCTCAAAACATTCCTGGATTGAATAGAAGGATTATCTTCTTCGATCCATGACTTCTACCTGTAGCTTTCTTTGATGTGGTATTACATGATGATGCCTCTCGACCATAATCAGATTCACAGTACCTACTTCGGCTCCCAGAAGATTATATCACCTTGTTCCCCAACCAGACCAAGATCTTTGAGCCTCCTTTCTTGGTAATATTCAAGTTCATCCAATTCCAATTCCCTCTCTCTAAAGATATCATCAATCTGTTGCAATACCTTTTTCTCTCCCACTCTTATTCCAACAGCTATTTCAAGCCTTGGACTTAGATTTCCTCCCTCTTTCAGCTTATCATCCTGCATTTTACCTTGTTAGTACATTTACCATTTGTAAAAACTTAAAATTATTAAGATTAGTAACTCTAATTCGAAACTAGGATAAAGTTACCTCTTCGATGGTGGTATGATAGCCAGAAAGTGCAGATTTGCATGCATTCCGAACCACTTGACATACAAGCTCCTCATTGGCACGGCTAATAGGCAACTCGAGGTGACCCCAAATAGTGTTTCTGAAAATCGACTCCAGAAGAAATGCATCTGTTCCTCCAAGTGCTACCAGCCGTAGATATGGAAGCATAGCAGGTGGAAGAGGTTGTCCCAACTTAATGTCAAAGTATGCAGTTTCTCCTAAACCATTTAACTCGGCTATATCCAACTTGTCACCAAAAAAAACATCCGAATCTGATATTTCTAGTGTCAATGTGAATGCATCACGATCTGACTTGGAGTCAATGAACCCATAGTCCAGAGCCGTATCAGCATTGCTCTTATTCAAATCATATTGGATAAAAACCTGCCAGAATTACCAATAACTTGAACCCCATTACTGATTACATTGTCTCACTAAGTGATTATTCATGTACCCTTTCATTTGGTCCATTCGAGGAAATAGGACAATATTAACTCAATATCTGCATTGCATTAGCTGTTTCATGTTTATCATTTGTGGTATATGTTGCTCTTGTAGCATCTAAGTCGGAATAAAAGAAGTCAACAGAAATAGGCAATGAAATTCACCTGTTCGCCAGCCTTGAGTGGTAACGGGCTCCTTAAAGAAAAGAGGTAATCCCAGGAAAAAAGACCTGCTGGTCCTCTAACCTCATAAGCATGATCTTCTGTAGTAACTCGGGCACTGTGATTGACCTGAGGTTCCAAGAACGTCAAAAAAGGCATGTAAATCATAGATCTCTGGAGAAATTTCATCTAGTGTAGTAACATTATATATTGTCAAAGTATTAGGAGAAAAAATGAATCTTCAACGATATCTAATCTATCGCTCATCGTATTTCATACTAAAACTTGAAATTTACAGCTATTTAAAGGCAAAACCCCAAGGCCTTGAGATCTCACCAAGTCTGCAAAGGGGATGATCACTAGATTTTGATTGCGAAGACGAGAAAATGCCCTCGATCTGAGTATCCCAAATGCCCAAAAGAAATCATCTAATGTTATTGGAATAGGGAAGAGCTGCTTGTTTGGAATTATGATTTCTTCTTCAACTTTCAAGAACTCATTTTGCACATACTCTTTCACACCCAATGTTGTGCTCAATAGTTGTGTTCCTGCAAAACCTCAGATTAATTACAAGTTCAGTTATGTATTTCCGGAACAACCAGCAGCTGAAATAAACTGCTGAAATAATATTCTTTAAGGCCCTTGACGCAGTTCTATGAAAAAAAATGTTTCGATAATAAGTTAATTTTTCTTCTTTTTTATTGTGAACTTATGTTGAAAGTAACTCTTAGCTTATTGTCATAAGAGAAACAATCATTTTCTGTAAGCTTTAAATCATTTTAATCAAACAAATTATCGTTTTTTTAGGTAAACTTATGCTGAAAGTAACTCTAGAAACGATAATTTTCAGTAAGGTTTAAATCATGTTAATCGAACAACGTGCATCAGGAAGAAATCACACTACCTTGAATCTCAGAAAGCTCCTCTTCTGACCTGCACTGGAATAGCATACAAAACAATACATATCAACATAAAACTACAAATCCATAGAAATTCAAAACGTAAAAATATGTGTACACACATTAAAATAATGTTCGACCATGCTTAAAAGTACTTTTTTTGAATGCCCGAAAAAGTCGGAGTTTAAACTAGGCGAAACATGCTGAACGTTCTTAAAAAAGGAACATAAATTTATAGACAAATTTTGAACATAACCCACCAAAATATTGTGGAATTAGTATACTCTGGAAGAATATCAATGTAATTTTTCCACTTAGAGTCCTCCCTAAACCTCTCTCTGAGAAAAAACAGAGCAACAGAAATCCAAGGCTTCAACGCAGAGCAAACATTTCCAATCTCTGATTCCAAAACGGTGTTAGGATTGATCCAATACTTCTTGGGCACCTCTAAAATGACCTCATTTTTAGCAACGTCCCTTGTGGCCACCAGTCCAAGGCCCTCAGGCACCACCCCCGGCCGCACCGGAGTCTTGGCTGACACCACGCCTTCATCTTTTAGCCACTGCCAGAAAGTCTGCACTGTTTGTGGGACTTTTGAGTCAGTTTCTGCTGACAGAACTGAATTTACATATAATGATCTTTTCTTGAAATAAATACAAGTTGAATTTTGTTTCAATAAAGAAAATTGTAGTTTTGGGGTTCTGGGAGGAGAGGGAAGAGAAGAGGAAGTTGAAGGGTAAAGAGAGAAGAAAGTGGCCATTTTCCCCTCTTTATTCTTCACAATGTTTTTGCAGAGGTTGCTGGATCAGCTTGCATCGAGAGGTTGAGGATGAGGCTGCAAAAGGACAGTGTGAAGCTTCTCTTAAAGGATAATTCTTTTTTCAAATTTTTTGTTTGGCTATGCTTAAATTATTTTCTTACAAGCTATAAGCATAAAGGTGAGTTGTTTTCAAAATAGGTTTTGTTCTTAATATTTATTTTTTGTTTATTCATTTGTTGTAAATATGTAAATTTAACATTTAATTTTAAACAAAGACAATCTAACTTAAATGGATTTATTTGTTATGAATAAGACAATCAATTTAAAGAATCAGAGTACGATCATAATTTTTTTATAATTCAAATAAAAAGTTCTACGCCTTTTGAGTATTTTATACCTTCAATATTTTTATGCTACCAGTATTTCTTAAAAGTAACTCGAAATATGAGTACATAACACCTTTTCCCTCTTTATTTTTTCCTTGATTTTTGTTTTGTAGATATTAATTATAAATATCACATCTGTAGCACTTTACTTTTATGACATGTTTGATATAATAAATTAAATAAAATTTGACGAAGTAAATATCGAATAGTATTATACATCTCTCTTCTTTAATATTGTCTAATATAACACGTTAAATCTTTAATTCTTAACAATGAATCATTGAAAGTTCAATATTAATTTTTTTATGCACAAAAAAAATTATTTCTTAAAAATGCTTGCATAAAATTATTTCTCAAAAGGTGAGAATCTCAATTCAAACTTCTCACAAATGTCACTTTGAAAATTTTAAGTGAAAATGTCATTCAAAATCTATATTTTTCAAAACAATCAAAGAAAATTTAAGTAAAAAGGTCATTCAAAGTCTATATTTTTCAAAACAATCAAAGAAGGAAAAGTCCGAGAAAAACACTGTCCAAGCAGACGTTCGATGCGTCCAGCACTCGAATTTTTAACCTTCTAAAATTCTGAGATGCAACGATTAGTTCAGTGTCCAGTTCATAAGCGAACATCCGGTTGGACAGAATTTTTGACGTTTAACTGCTATAAATGCCATCTCAATTTGCATTCAATAATTGACCTTTCAAGTGAGATACTTTTGAGCAAGACTATTACACTCTTTCTTTATCAAATCAAATTATTTATTTTGAAAAAACTTTTGACTGAATTAACTTTTAAAAATCATTCTTCTCATCTAAGTTGTTCTTACCTAAAACTTGAATTTCATTCATTGCTAGGCATTCAAGTGTTTGCCTACTTTTTTTTTTGGTACTTCATTTTGATTATATTATTTATTATTACTCCTTAAATTTGTGGATCATATAGAGATCCTATAAAGCTCTATATTGTAAAAAGATAGATGTTTCTTGGTTTTAAATCATCAAAAGCACTGTAGAATGTTGAATTACATCATAAATCAATAAGTATAGCGGAAAAAAAACATTGTTCGTACCGGAGGACTTGAAAACGAGGGATGTAGATCATTGCTTTGGATTGAACCTCCATAATTACATCGTTTGCCTAATTGATCGAGAGTGGCCATGAAATTGGAAGTGGCCACACTCATCTTGTGGTACTAAGAAGAAATCAGATTTTGGTGCCCTCGGGGCACATCCCAAATGGCAAAGGACGGAATTCTGCAAGGCGAGCAGTTCAGAGGTCGCATGTTCGATTCATGGAGCTCTTAGAAGGCAGGATATTTCCTAGAAGGCAGGAGTTCTCTTGGAAGGCAAGACGCATACATGAGTTTGACTCGCTCGACACTTTGACAGTTCAGTTGAGAGAGCTCTTGGACCCTAGCCAATTTGTGGCACAACCCGCGATTTACCTGGTTTGCGTAAAGAGGGGCTGGATCGTAGGCCCTAGGATTAGTCGCTGTAAAATGGACACCTAGGTATCAAAAAAAAAAAAAAAAAGAAATCAGATTTTGGTGTTGAACTGGGGTTAGCCACTGGTTTAGATACAAGGTTATGAGCCTCATTAGACGAGACCTAGTTAGTAGATCAAAATAGTTTGCCACATAAGTCCCAATAATAATCACCGGAGTGACCTACATGATCACAATGAGTACATTTTTGTGGTCCACGATTTCCCAAATGACCACTACCTCTAATGTCTCGTCCACCCGGGAGCTAACACCACGGCCACCCTGACTTCTACGTCCACCCCTGATTGAGCCACCCTAAGTAATAAAAATAGAATGATCTCCTTTGGGTATACTATCCGAGAGAGTAGAGCACTGAATACGAGAAAATGTCTCTACTAAATTGGGAAGCTCTTTTTTACCTAATATTTGTGCTCGGGTGCTTCAAATTCTGGTGGAAGACCAATACAAAATTTAACAATATTGATATTTTCCTTCTGTTTTTCCATAACTTTCAAATCAAGAGACAAATGTTGATGTATATTCCTCTCTTGACACACTGTCAAAAGCTTATTATAATATTCTATAAGACTGGAGGAGCCATTCTCAAGTCTAAAGTATTTTTTACATGTCTCCTAGATTCGAGTAATATTTTTGATCTTAGAATGTATATGTTAAAGATGCTCCCAAATTTGCTTAGCTCTAGACATACAGAGGCAGGATCACCGATATGAAGTTCAATACTACTGATCATAAGTCCATTAATAGCACTATTCTTTTGATCCCACTGATCATTGAGAGTAGAATTAACATTTGCAGAATCACTGTCTAGAAACTTACGACTTGTTTAAAATTAATTGGTTAAATAAACCTTTACCACCCAAAAAAGGACCTCTAGCACCTGGTCCAGTAATTGTAATTTCTTTGTCATGAGTCCAATTTGGTTGAACATCTCCATTTTGAATGACATGATACTATTCATAAACCAGCCCAACAATAAATTCAATAGAAATTTAATAACCTCAACAATCTAATAATTATACTAACCCAATAATAGACCCAATAACTAAATGACCCACAAACTAACCAATAGCCCCCCCAAAAAATAAAATCACAAACTAGGGCCCAATAATAAACTTGAACCCAAAACCCAACAATAATTAAAGCCCAATCACAATAACTTGTTAGCCCAACAATTGAAATAACTCCAAAATAATTAAGGAAAAATTTCATAAGTAAGACATTAAGTATGGTATATTTTAAAATTAAGAAAACAAATTTCAAATTTCAAAAATCAGATTTTTATTAAAATTTATTTATGATTTAATTAATTAATTTATTAAATATATTTAAGTCACATATCCATACAATTTGATCACAAATTAACAATTTAATTAGTCACTTATTATTTTTTGGTCACAAATCAGAAATTTTATGCCACAAATTATTTTACGATCACGATTCAAAAAAATTTTAGGTCACAATTTGTTCATCGATCACAAATAAAAAAATTAATTAGTCACGGATTAATTTTTAGTCACAACTTATTTTTCGATCACAAATTAAAAATTTTATAGGTCACATTATTTTTCGGTCACGAATAAAAAAAATTGCAGGTCACAGATCACAAATATTATAGGTCACAACTTATTAGACTGTCACAAATTATTAATTTTTTAGGTCACAATTTATTTATTTTATTGGTCACAGATTAACTAATTCATTGGTCATAATCAACCAAATAACCTGTAACCATCACCAACACTTACGACCACCACTTCAACACTGCCTCTAACAGCACCATCACCACCATCGCCACCAAAACCACCACCATAGTGTTTACAAATTAACCAATTTATTGATCACAACTTTCAATCAACCAATAAAATCGTGACAATCAGGTCCCCATTGCACCACCCCACCGCTAACATCCACCAATGACGCCGCCCACCACCACTACAACACCAACATTACCCACACCCCATCCCACCACCTTAAAGCACCGGCACTACTGCCAACACCAGGTTGCGTCACCAATGCCATTCCCATACATAAAACCACTTGCATCAAGAACCATCGCTGCCGACAACCGCACTAAGTAGATCGAATAAAAAATCGAGGTGCTGCAGTGACGGTACTAGGGGAGAGGGAGAGGAGAAAAGAGACGAAGGGAGAAAGCGCCACCGCCATTACATAAACAACTCGAACCGTCAGATCAACCACCACACAATCACCATCACCACCACCACCCAAAATCACCACCGCACAAGCACATCGCACCGCTATTACTCACCCAATTGCCAACTCCACCACCGCAAAATGCCACCACACAAAACACCACAGCAACCACGACAAATCGCGACAACACAAATACCATTGCTTGTGATGCCGCTTCAAATCGCTCTGTTGAACTCATCGTCACGACAGCGACGCTCACACAAGAGGAGTTGCAGTAGCAACAACTCAACGGCAATGAAGGCGATGGTGGAGAAAATGATGGGAGAGGAGAGAATGGCTTGGTCCTTTTTATGTTAGGGTTTGTGAATATAATTTAATTTATAATAATATTATTAATATATTGATTTATAATAATTAAATTAATTTCTAATTTGTGAATATACAAAACTTGAATTTGATTTTTGAAATGTTGATTTTAATAGTATGGTTTCCTGTAATTTCCACAATAATTAAAGCCCAGCAAATTTTGTTTTCAGCCCAAAATTTGAACCCATAGAGGCTGAACAAACACGATTACCACCCAAAGAAAACCTGTGCGCGCCCCTTTGCTTCAACAGAGGTGATAATCATCACATGAAATCCCACTCTTCGACGGTCAAATGACCAAGAAACCACAGAACAACGGAGTTACAGAATCACTATAGCAGATTGCCGATTGATAGAGTACCATCGTCGTTAATCGACGACAGAAATCATACTACTTGGGGCAAAGACTACAAGCCATTACTCAACCATATGGGACACCGACTAGAACACAGGAAGCGACGGACAATATTTTAGAAGCTGGCCGGAAAAAAATTGAAAAAAATTGGGGATGAAGTAGTGGCAAGGCAGCTTAAAAAAGGAAAAAAGGCAGACTACCAAGCCCAAGGAAATATTCTCTAATACTATGTTGAATGGGTTTGACATCAATTTTCTAGATAGAAGAAGGTTACGTTCTTCCCCTCTTTTTCCATAAATATACAGAAAATCACAAGTACAGATATGGAAATACAATAAATCAAACTATCCTATTGCCTAATTTACTTCCTTAACACACATCTATCTTCTTTAGTCTTGCCTAGTCTAAACAATGGGTTCTTAAGAGACATTCATCTAACTAGGAAAGCAAATGCTAAACTTGAGCAGCTTTGTTCCCGTAGATCATAAACTAGCCAGGATAAGCAATATTATTAAACCAGATAAAACAAGAAGCAATACACCCTTGTTTGAGCGCCCCCCCCCCCCCCCCCCCCCCCCCCGGCCCCA